TGGCTTCCAGTTCTGAATGTATGTAAAAACAAGGTCTCACCTATGTTACCCAGTCACAAGTCACTCTACCTGGAACTGGAGCAGACATTCCTGAGAATCATCTCAACACTTCCTATATCAGATGCTCAAGAGTTATTGCAGCAATGCCTTTGCTTCTCAACCAGAAATGTTGAAGATTGCCCCCACTTGATCACAGCTTTTAATACCTGGTTTCGCCGGGCAGCCCAACCCCCTCAGCTGGAGAAACTTCAATAGAAAGTGCTGGTAAGCAACGTAGGGTGGTGTTAGATAAACACTAAACCTTTCTGTCAAATGTTTGTGCATATTAAGTTAACCTTTTGGAGGAAAACTCTCTTCTGTACATGATGCTATGTTCTTCTTCTACATATCAGAAGCAAACCTGAACGCTTTTGATATTGTTCCCTTGAACATTTGAACTCTACTGTGCCTGCTTGCACAAACCTCTAGTTTTTTAATGAGAAGGTTCTGTTGGCTTGAGGTGAAAGAATCAAAGTCTTATTAATTTCTAGTAAGAATGCTGATCCCTATAATCATAGTTTGCCAAAGACGCACACAACTACAACCCAATTTAAAAGAATGTAACCTGATCAAATTACATTTATACTGTCATTTGATCTTATGCACTTGTGATAATATATGAGATACACATCCTCAGCGTTGTAGTATGGTAGGAAGATGAAATCTTGGAATGTTAGATGATGTTTTATAGCGCAGGGAATGAAATGGCAAAACCGCAGTTAAGACTATTACCAACATTTTATAATGATCATGTAATTTGAAGACTTTATTAGCACATGATATAATGATCATGTAATATAGGTTTTATGGTTGGTGATGAACAACATCAATTGTGTGAAACATGTTTGCAGAACAATTGCGTGAAACATGAAATCGCTTCATTAGTGTGTGTTTTTATTCACTTCAACGGAGGAGTTGCTAACAATAAATTGCCACAGGGAATTGATTGAGTATATTGTAAAGGAAGCATGATTAGTTTAAAAAGAAAAAATAAAATTAAGATGTTGGTGTGAATTAAATTTTAATTTTTTCTTTATAGTGTCTGCTTGTAAGTGGATACCATCACAGAAATTGGATGTGAAAGTTATTCAAGAGTCTGATTGTTTCGCCCTTGAAATTGTACCTGATGAATGGCAATAAGATAAATTCCTGATTTGTATCTGGATGCTTTACTGGTCTGTGCTTCATTTGATTGGTGTGGATACTTAATTTTGGATTCAAACTTGAGTTTACAAGATTTCTTTGTACACAGCCAACTAAATATTTGGCTAGCTATTGTGTTGTGTGTGACACTAGTTGGCTTAAGAGTTCATTCTTCCTAAGTAGCAAGTTAATCATTTGATTTTTTCCTCTTTTTTTTTCTGATTGATTATAGTGCTTTTTTTTTTTTTTTTGCTTCACTAAATATATGGGGTGTAACTGATGTAAGATATGATTATTTTAACTATAAAGAATACAAGATGTTTAAGTTTAGATGAGAGATTTAATTAATTAATTTATTTATTTATTTTTGAACATGTTACAAGAGTTTGATTCAAACCGTTGCCTGTAAAAAAAAAATGTACTTTTACGTGGTTTTATTGTCACTGGAACCGAAAGTCAAGTGCGATTTAATTTATTTTTTTAGTTCAAATTGCTAATTGGATTTGTATTCTCCTTTTAGAAGGATAATAATTGATTGTTGATTAACCTACTGTTGAAATCTATGGTTAAATCTGCCTCAAAGGTCCAACATATCTTTTCATTATCAAAACTTTTAACATCCTTACAATAATGAAAATAAAAATAAAACAGGAAAGCAAGGCAGAAAACCAACCGACATAAGTTGAAAAGTGTTCCTGCTTTTATGGTAGAAATTGCAGTCTTGCTTTAGATGAAAAGACAAAAGTAAGAGAAACTGCTATTTGTTCGTCAACGACCGCTCATTCACAAAAACTTTACTACGTGAATACTATTAAGATGGATGTATCATAGTAATTAATATGATAGTAATCTTTTTTTTATAACATTTGATATTGATATGATATATAAAAAGAGGTAGTCCTTTTTTTTCTTAAATTTTTTCTTTTGGTTTAAAATTCAAATTTGAAAATTTTAATTTGAAAGGATTGCCATGGATACAAAACCGAGTGTACATGCACCCAACCCTACTTGATTGGTGCAAAGTGAATTTTTCTTTTACTTTATTATTATTATTATTTTAAAAAAATAAATAAATAACACTGCACATCAATCAAGTGCGGAGTGCTCCGGAATGCACTTAGCATTACTCATATAATGATCATGCAATATGATGGGTTTTATTGTTGATGATGAAGAACATTAATTGCGTGAAACATGTTTACAGGAAATTTGCTGTGAAACATGAAAATGCTTGATTAGCAAGCTTTTTATTCACTTCACTAAGGAGTTGCCGTTTATAAATTGCTGCTATTAATTGATTGAGGATTTGTAAAGGAAGCATGGTTGGGTTAAAAATAAAATAAAATAAAGATGTTGGAGTGAATTAAATTTGAATTTTCTTTCTTCACTTTCAGTTCTTTACTTCTAATACATGACCGACATGGAGTTATGTGGAGATTGGGATTCCAAGACACTTAAAATGCTATTTGAGGTGCAGGCTACAAGGAGATTTCTTGATCAGTAGTTACTTGTGCTATATATTTGTTCTTGATTTTACCTGTACTGTATTTTATTTCTGGATCCTACCATTTGATCTTGTGTTTATGGGATATCTCTGGAGACAAATGTACAACAATGGGATTTGTTTGACAAATGTCCAACAAAGTATTGTGTGTTATTGAGGTCCCAAGTGTTTATGTTTCCTAACTTTCAAGGCCACCGTTGATTTTTGGCCAATTTTAGTGTTTCTTTGCCTTTTAGAGTTTCTTGTTTACTTGGCTGTGAAATTTTCACGTTGTAATTTTAACCAAACTCTTCCATGGAAATTCTTTCTCAGAGAAAAAAAGATATGATAGTTATTTTATGTACCTAAGACAAATATCCCATTTCAAATGAAAGATTTAAATTTGTTTTTGAATACAAAATGCATTGTATTTTTTTATTTTTATTTTTTGTAGTTTCTTTTTAGAAGAATAAATGATTGGTTAACATTTTGACAGAATTTTCAGACAAGGCAATTTGCCCTGTAAAAAACAGAATCTGTGGTCAAATCTGCCTAAAGGGAACTAACATCTCATTTCATTACCAAAACTGCAGTGCTATTGACACTCCCTTAGAAATGAAAATAAAAATAACAGCGGAAAAGAAGACAGACAATTGATCAAGTTAGCTTCTCTTAACATAGTAAAAGTTTGAAGAAAATGCTTCCCGCTTTTATGATAGAATCACAGTCTTGTTTAAGATGAAAGTCACAAGCAAAAGAGATACAGTTGTTTATTTTTCAATCTCTGCTCATTCACAAAACTTGAGGTTCTAAGTAAATGTTAGAAACACCACTACATTAGCTGCCTCTTGATGGTGTTTGTAAGAGGGAAGTTATTATGGTAGGATGATAAAAAAGGAAGTTAACGACTTGAATTATAGCAGTCGCCTTCTGAAGTTGCGAGTGGTACCTTGGTAGGTGCGGACCAGCAAGCCTACCCCTATCCCAATGCCAACACAGATGCTGAGGCCAATTCCAACACCCACTCTTACACCAGCGTTGAACCACGAGAGTTCCCCATCTTCACCATCCATAAAATCTGCCCCTGTGTACATGTGATGGTAGTCTTCATTTTCTGGTTTGTGATTCAAGTAATCTGGCATCTGCAAAGTTGAGAAAGAAATGAAAAACAGTTTAGAATTGTAAGACAAGCAGATTAAAGTCTGCCCCTATGTTTGGTAGATCTCAAATACAAATGCTACCCAAATCATTTTCATTAAGAGAATAGGAGTAACTGTTCACCATGTCAGCTAAGGCATCAAGAATGTTTAGGAAAAGAATTCGTGCTACAAAGGCATGCAGAAATCATATTTCCACTTGAATGGAGGAACATGTTCTAGAAAAGAGGAGATGATATATGTACTAGTGAAGTTGCAACTACAATGACAATGGACATCCATTCAAGATTAGCTGATTTACAAAAAATAGCAGATGCAAATATCGAATAAAGTACAGAAAATGCAGAAAACTTTGCACACTTCCAATCAAGAGAAGGAACTAACTGAACTTAAGTATCCAACCTGGCTGGGATTAGTACCCTCCAAACTGCTTCTGGATGAGGTGTATTGAGGGAAATTCAAGCAACTTTGCACAATATGTAGCTTAGTATATTTGGTTAAAACTAATTGAAAGATTTTGTGCCTAGAAATTATTTATCAATCAAGTTTGAGGTTTGGCAGAATACAAGGGACAGAAGAAACAAGACATGATACCAGAAAAATACATATCCACACCAGAAAACTCTTTCAAATATTTCAGGAGACTGAACTTAAGTTCAATGTCAAATATCAAGCTTTGAATCTCATCTACATTAACCAATCGATAAATGTAAATGTTCACATACACAGATCATTTGCAACATCTCAATAATCATACAATGATACAAATCATAAGAACTGTTTCTAGTTCTCAAAAATTAGGAAGTGGATAAACTATATTTCTTATGAACCTATATGCCTGAGAAGGCATAACTGGCACTGAATTTACTGGACTTGGTGCAATTTGCAAAAAGAAAATCATGTAGAATATAATAGATCAATAAGATTGGAAAAACTTGAATTCCATTGCATACTTATATTATGAGAAGAATTACCTGCCAGGCATCTTGAGGGGGAGCATGACCATGGCCTTCAGTTGCTTCATACTCTGGTATTGAGTCCAGCATGCCCGTCTTCATCTGCTTCCTCCGTGAACTAAGATTTAAAGTTTTAGTTAAGATAATTGGACTGCCCAAGAATGAACCAGCAACATAGACCTCAATTATGGGTGAATCTGAATCTTGAGTCATAAATTGCTTTGCCTTCAAAATCCCAGTGCCTGCAGTAGTATGGGGCTCACATGTCATGCTCCAACATTGGCTACTGCTTCTGGACTCCCCAGCAAAACCATGACAATCACACAACTCTAAAGCACCAGATAGTAGAAGAGCGTCCTTATCAAAAACCTCAAACTTCACATTCCCTGTCATACGTATACAATCAGTGCTGACAAAAATGGCTTCTTCAGATTTCTTATCCAGCCTATCCCTTCTAAGAAGAGATGACGCCCCATCAGAATATATGCTGGTTCTAACACCATTCACCTCTAGAAGGGTGTTGGGATCCAAAGGGATATGATTCAATGTAAGGAATTCAGGAGCAGAATCATCAATCTCACACTTGCTTACTCTGACATAGAAAACTCTTATATCGAGCCAATGTAATGACCCCTGCGCAGAGGGCTGAAATGAAGAGTGCCTTTGAATTTTGTAGCCATTAACAATCGGCCCATTTCTATTAGAAGTTTCATAAGCTCCCTCCATAGCTCAAAAGAATTTAGTCCTCAGGGAAATCTTTCCACTTCAGTAGAGTTGATCACTTGTCACAATCCATACAAGTGAATCTCATCTGAACATAAAAGAAACCTGCAACAATGTCAATAAAGGAAACCAAAGAAAATGGAACATATTCAGATACTGAAAGACCTAGAAACAACGTAAAGAAAATTTTATGAAAGATAGGAGTGTGAAAGTTAAAGCTACACAAAGGAGATGAAATCCAAGTAGTCCACAATACAAACCAGAAGAATCTACACTAAAAGAGCTGAAGAAGAAAAGTAGGAAGAAGAATTCATTATTACAATAAGGAAAAGAGTGGACATTCAAGAGAAGCTCAAGCAAGGAAAAGCACGAGATAATCCAGAGAAGCTGAACTAAAAACAGAATCCATCAAGGTGAAAGGCTTAGGAAGAATATGAGCATTTAGAAATGAAAATTTGCTTACTTTCTGCAGATTTGAACTGAGAAAACAAACAGCAATTAATCAAGGAGAGGAAGAGCCAAAAATAGAACTACCAAACCGGTAGCAGAAATAAAAATGACAAAGAAGCGATAAGAGGATGGGTAAATACTCCAGAAAAATCCAAAAATCCAAAATCCAAGCGTTGATGGCAAAACGTCATGTTAGCAGATAAAAAGACAGAACTCTTTCTGTCTGTGCATGCATTATCATGCATTAAAGGAAAACCTCAAGATTTGTGTCTAATAATCAAAACCAAGAGAAGGAAACTCACCAGTCCCCACGAATATCTCAATCGTCAAATCTTCTCTGTGTCTTGAAATATCAAGAAGCAATTGAATTTACGTCTCTGGTGATGGGGACCTCTTCTTCCTCCAATAATACAAAATGAAGATTTTGATTCTCTGGACAAGCAATTCCAGCTACACAAAAGGAAAAAAAGCCCCAAGCTCTCAAATTTCACGAACAAAAACCTAATCAAATCAAGCCCACTTTTTTATCTCAAATCATCGAATCAAAACATGAACAAAGAACAACCCTTTTGCTCAAATTTTGCGTACAAAAATGGGTTGTTTTCTGTTTATGTTGAGATTGCAAGTTTTTGATAGAATCATCACGAACGAAATATCGCAAAGAAAAAGTGGGGTCACCATCACTCCAGTCCACTTTTCCATCAGTAATTCCACAGATCTTATCCTAAATAGAGAGAAACAAAGGTTCACAAGCCAATGCATTGAAAAGGATGTCTAAGCTTTTTAAAAATCTGTTTTTCTATGCATCTCTGGAACTGGACGGTATCTTCAAAACTTTTTCCTTAGCAGGTGTAAGAAAATGGCTGGCCATGTGAACTCCTTGATTTTGTTCAATTGGCTTTAATTAGTGGATCTAAGAAACACGAAAGCTTGTTTTAAGGACACTTGTCATTGACCCTCCCCCCTTCCTTTTTCTAACTATGATGATGTGTGAAATTTTAGCTTATATATTATTTTTACTTCCTCCACGTTAGGTAAGTATCGATTTTTCCGCAACTAACCCTTCGGAGCAATTGGTGCGCTCTCAATTTGAGGTGCATTTTTCTTTATTTATGAACGAGTTTTGAGTTTATCACTTGATAATTTGTTAAAAAAAAAAGAAAAATTATCGATTTTTCCAGGTAGACGGACTCAGATCATTACGGTCATCAATTTATATATTGGGTTTGTGTTTGTATCACATCTATGTTTTAAGGTGTTAACAATTAAATAATTTAATGGTATTTTTAGTTAGAAGTAGGAGTTAAGAAAGATGCGGTGAAGCCCGTAAGGCGAAATGAACTCCGTCACTTTAAAAGTTCATTTTTTTTTTTACAACGATTCAATTCAGTCTTGTTATTTGAGAAAAAAAAAAAGAGGAAAAGATGTGATGAATTTGAGCAGTATAATATATGAACAGAATATATTAAAAGATAAAAAAAATTATTTTTTTTAGAGTAATTTAAAGTTTAAAAAATATTATCTCAAGGATATAATAATTATATTTTTTTAAAAATTAAATTAATTACAAAATATAAAAACTAATTTTATTTTTAATAATAATAACACAGTTATATTAAAGAATAAAATTAATAATTCATTAATTTGAGTAAAAAAAATTTGATTCCCTACATTAATATCTTGGTTTGAGTTTTGTAGATAAAAAAATAAATATTAAAAAAAATTTACTCTTATAAAATTTAATATGATTTAATAATTATCAAATATAAAAAGTGAGTAAAAAAAAGATGAAAATAAAATTCAGCTCAGGTCCTTCTTTTTCGTTTTATTATTATTATTATTACTTTTTTTTTACCGACAAATTCATGTGAAAGGCACATGGATATCGGGTGAAGGGACACTACTCCATGCGGAGCACATTTTCAGCCAGAAGTATGTCTGGCTATTCAATTCTGTATTAAATCTGTCTGGCTATTCAATTCTGTATTAAATCTGTCTGGCTATTCAATTCTGGATTTGGAATTCTAATTTCTGAAGAATAGCAGATATCTTTAACGATTTGATGTCCTTCCAATCCAAGGCAGAACTGCAAGCAGCATGCTCTGGATTTCAGGAATATTTGAAAAATGTCAAATTGTTCTCACTCAACTAGTTGCCTGAGTCCAATTCCATTGATACTACTTAAGTTTCAATCTCATGCTAAGATTAAATTGATCCACAGAGTGCATTAGATGCAAGTAAAAAGCTCTCTTCTACTTCTTGCTCTTAGGACGGTGCCGTCAAGAGCTATTAAATGCGAAGAGAGATATCAACATTATAGCAATACAGAGCTATTGACTGATCAAGATGAATAGAAAACACATATGAAGCAAAATGGCCCTCCTTTGGTCCTCACCTAAGCTGATATCTAACCATGATGAATTCCAGCAGGATGACAGTTAACGGGAACAATAGTTGTGTCAAACATTCTTAAAATCCGTTCTTAGCCTTCCAATCCAACAGTAAAAGCATTCCCAATTTCCCATCAGAATTTGAGACAGAAAAAATGTTACACTACAGCACCGCATAACAATGAACAAGAGTAGAGTAATAGAGTTGAAGAGGAGATTTGATAAACCTTTGTCCAAGTGGGTGTAAGTTCATGACACAATGCAATTCATAAAGGTGTATAAAGATACTGAATTTCCAAACTGGAAAACATTCATGACAAAATCCCTTGACCATATGCAATGATAAATTGAGCCTCAATTCATAAATTTCAAACTAGCTAGAATGCACAGATTTGAACCCAACAGGAGTTCTAAATAGGGTTTCTCACATCTATGTTATTTCCTCTCTAGGTCATTGAAGTTGGCATGTTGAGCTACATCTTAAAAATATACAATCTTTTTCTTCAGTGAGGTGAAGGATACAATGTTGATAAGCAAGAGGCAGATAACAATCTTGACAAAAAGACCAAGTCATGCAGCAACAGCCGTAAATGAATGGGAGAAGTTACAAAGAGGTGAATAAAACTACTCAAATGAGAGCCAATTGGGTATTGAATGAAGAGGCCTTTACTGTCACCGAGGAACTGCAAAGTCTAGGAAATAACAATAAAGAGATGGAAGATGAATCAGTAGATGAACAAATGCACTCATGATGTTTGCTGATTAGGCAAACTATAAAGTTGAAGAAGGAAAGAACTACATTGAAAAGGATAATTAACAAGGAAAATGACAAAGAATGCATCATATTTCAGGTGCAGAACAAAAGGAAATGCTACAGCCTTGATCAAAGAACTCTACCATGTAAATGGATTGAGTATGATAGATCAATACGTTGAAAAGGGATCTGTCTCCAGAGACACTGAATTGTTTTAAAGAACAGAAAGGCCTAAATACATTTATCTCAAAGATAGGTCATACCACTATCACAAATGCAACCTACCATGAATCCTAAACCATCAATGAATAACAAAACATAGCAATACTAAGGACCATATTTTTAACAGATTATATTAACTAGTACTTATTCCAACCACATTGAATGGTAAACTAAAAGAAAATTAACTCTTTATTCTCCCATAAAGCTGAGCAGTATTCAATCTCTCCAAATTAAATTTGAAAATGATATAAGAGAAATGCTCCACTGAGTTTTAAGGGATAAGTGCTTTGAGCTGGGAACAAAACGCAGAAGCTTCTGTGATCCACTCTAAATTCACACAACCTAGTTCAATGTATATCAGAATAAGTGAAATACAAGCATTCAAAACTGCAGTCAAGAAATTTGCATACACTATCAAATATCAGAATACAAAGACCAAATTATCCAAGACTTGAACATTTTATTTCTCTTTCACATAGATACTGAAAATAAGATCCTAAGCATTATTGTCCAAGGTGATCCAGCAAGCCTTTTCACAAGGGTGTTGCAAGTCCTATTGCATGAAGTAGAAGAACAAGTCAGAACACTCATTTTAGGTCAAACAAGATGCATTTTTTGCTGCCTATTAAATGGTGAATAGTATTTACTTGTGACACAAAACACAACAGAGTAAATTGATATAACAAGTTAAGGTATTTTAATTAATTTGAGCCATAGTAAATAAACACCAATCCTCATTTAATTAAATGGGGAACAGTATTTACTTGTGACACACAAAACCCAACAGAGTAAATTAATATAACAAGTTAAGGTATTTTAATTAATTTGAGCCATAGTAAATAAACACAAATCCTCATTTAAGTAAAAAACCAAACTCTATCTTGTACTCTTTCTCACGCATGGGTGCAAGAAAGTCCATACAAAGAGAAGTTAAATTAGGAGGGTGCTTGGTTTAGCTGTTGCTGCCAGCCGAGAGCCCCAACAGAGTTTAGTAAAATTTTAGATTAGCAGCTAAAAGGAAGAGAAAAAATTGTTCAACAAGCTTGCTCAGATCAGAATTACCTTGAGAGAGGCAACTCCAATAGGATGAATCAACGGCTATGTTTGATATGAGCCGAGCAGAAGCAGTGGCACTATGGAGAGGCATCATTGACTCCATACTTCCCAAAACCGTAACAAACCTTCAAAACCCAATTAAAAAAAATCAACAAGCTTGCTTAGAACTTCCATACTTACAGAAAGAATTAGTTATATATAAGAAAGCAGAGACCTTGAGGCGCAGGGGAGAGCTCTTGTTGACGGAGAAGAAAGTACAGAAGACACGGGCTTTCCAGTTATGGTCATTTGGGTTAGTGTTCTGGATCGAGCGGCAATGGATCTCGAACCCGCCATTATTGCCGATCTGTAAAACGACGCCATTATTTCCGGTGCGCTACGAAGTAAGGAACAGAACAGTCTCCGAAGAAGTGAAACAAATTCCTTAAACCCTACAATCTGACGCGAGATTTTAGATACATTAAAACGCTGCCGTTTTCTGCTAGAATTTTAATTTCCACAATAGGCCCAAAATGCCAAATCCATCAAATACCCAATTTCTATTGGGCCTTTGAGGTCCAATCCATCATATGTTCGTATGTTAATGAAGCCCATTTTCTGTTAGATCGAATAATTAGGCTTTGTTTTTGGGTTTTTTTATTTTGTTTTTTAAAATTTAAATAATTAAAATTAATAATTAAAAACTAAAATTAAAAATTAAATTTCAAAATATTAAATATAAAATTTTAAAGAAAAACTATAAAATTTCAAAATTAATTAATTTATACAAATAAATTCATCTTTTATTTTAAAAAAATCAATTTATATAACTTCTTAATTTTATGAGATTGCCAAAAATCAAAACCTTATAAAAGTTAAAATATTAACACTCCCTATGCAAGCCAATTATTTAAATACCCCTAATAAATCAATATATAAGAAAAATTCATTAAAAATATTTTAATAATTTCATAAAATATCTTAATATTTTAAACATCAAAATACCTTAATTTTTACTTTTCTCTAATTTTATTCTAAATTATCTAGATTTCTAAAAATCAAAGCTAAAAGCTACAACCACCATATTAAACAGAACCTAAATTTAGGTTAAAGCCAATGTCATTCCTCTACCATTGAGAAAAGTTCAACCCAAATCTTTTATTATGAATTCGCCTCATGTCTCCCTCTACTTTAACTTAACTTAATATGTCCTCCCTCTACTATTCAAAAAGAGTTCAATTTTGTCCCTTCGTTCATTTTAAGGGTAACGACTTCTTTTTAGACCATTAAATTGAAGATGGTCAGATGTTTAAGAACAAAGAAGTATGTTCTTACTCTTGTTTTATAATTTGGATTAAACTTATTGAATTAAAGGCAATTTCAGTAATCAATTATTGTAGATATAAAACTTTTTTTTTTTGGATAAAAGTACTGAATATGATAGAACTAATTCATTATAATGTACGGTGGTTCAATGGTTAAGAGTTTGAAATTTCAAATTAAAGATTTCAAGTTTAAACCTTAAATCAGGTCAGGAGGGATTTAAAAAAAAGAAATGACTATCTCTCTTATATAATCCATTCAGATATACCCAAAAAAAAAAAAAAAATCATTACAGTGTTATTGTATCATGTGTCTACTATGATTCCTGATAAGCAATAACGTCCACACTCAAATACTCTTTTTTTTTTCCTCTTTTTCTTTTGTTTCTTTACCCTCGTTTTTTTTTTCTATATTTTTATTCCTATTTGTAATTAAAGCAATCTATTCTTATCAACAAAGCACATATCTTAATTTTAACCATATATGTGGAGTATAAAATTGCTGTAATATTAATTTTGTTTCAAAAACCGCAAATAAAACTTTGATTAGAGAGATTCCTAGCTGAAATTTTATTCGATAATGAGAAACAATCACGATCATAGAACTCGAATTTCTGTGGGTCTCACAACGAGGTAATGTTGATTCTACTATGCAAGATTAAATAAAAAAAAATTAAAATGGAATTTATTCGATAATGAGAAACAATCACGATCATAGAACTCGAATTTCTGTGGGTCTCACAACGAGGTAATGTTGATTCTACTATGCAAGAGTAAATTAAAAAAAATTAAAATGGAATTTATTCAATAACGAGAAACAATCACGATCATAGAACTCGAATTTCTGTGGGTCTCACAACGAGGTAATGTTGATTCTACTATGCAAGATTAAATTAAAAAAAATTAAAATGGGACACAAACGTCTGATTGACTGCAATTTAACAGTAAAAAAAAATTAAGCTCTTTTTTTATTAGTAGAGAGGAGATATAAAGCTAATTCAAAGTAAAGAGAGTACATGAGGTGAATTTATAATAAACCATTTAGATTAAACTTTTTTCAATAATAGAGGGAAGATGTTTATTTATTTATTTATTTATTTATTAATTTTTCAATAATCAATAATCACGTTAGGTCTCCACTAATTTGAAATTGAGCTGCATTGGATTCTATTAACAACACATTTTATTAAAAAAAGCTTTTTCAGCACTTATTTCTTCTTTTATAAGATTTAAACTCAAAACCATATTTAAAGAGAATTGAGATATTCTTTCTCAAGATCTTTTTCTTCGAACAAATAGATTATTGATATTAATAAAGAGACGATAATTTGACTTTAACCCGCCTAATATTTTGTGGGTAAATTTGACTTGGGGAGTGAGAGTGCAGATGAAATTTGCGGATATGGATTTTGTCGGTCTCTAATAAGCGGCAAACTTTCATGCGAATATTGCATGAGCGAGTAGGGTCTTTACAGCCTGCCGAAAAATCAAGCTAACTGATAAGCTTTCAACTTTTCTTTTATATAAAGATGCGCAATGTTGCATGAGTGACTAGGTTCCTTACAGCCTGCTGAAAAATCAAGCTAATTCGTAAGCTTTCAACCCTTTTTTCTTTTTTTTTAAAGGATGCAAACTTTTGCATGAGTGAGTAGGTTCCTTATAGCTCTGCTGAAAAATCAAGTAACTGGAGAAAAGCATCCTCTCAATGGCCGCCGTTAAGGGAGAAGAAACAGCTATGGTGGAGGATGCCATATTAGGCTACTTAGCTACACATGAAGTAATCGCTGATTCCGGCCAGTTCGCCTACGAACATGGGCTCGATCACAACGAAGTCGTCAATGTTATCAAGTCTCTCCATGGTTTCAGATTCATTGACGCTCAAGTATTTCCAACATCTACTCTCATCTTTGGTCTTTCCCTCCATGCTCAGCTTTATTGTTAAAGCGAGCGTGCCTCTTCTTTATATATATATATATATAATAAGGAAGGGTGGATTGATTGTGGAGCTTGAATTTCGTTCAGGATATAAAGAGGGAAACGTGGGCTCTTACTGATGAGGGGAAAAAGTATGCTGATGAAGGTTCACCTGAAGTGCAACTATTCTTGGCTGTACCTCCAGAAGGCAGCATTTGGATGGACGAATTGCAGGTGGGTTTAGTACTTGATTGTGGGTTAATTGATCTTGAGTTATGGTAATTCTGTTACTCATGTTCAGAAATTAGGATAGGCTGCAATTATGCAGGTTCATGAAACTGTAGTTATAGTTATGGAAACTGTTATCTTGTTTTTACGAGTTTGTTGAAATTGTGTGTTTATTATGCAGAAAAAGCTTGACCCTTCAGTTTTCAAAATTGGTTGCTTGCAAGCTGGAAAAAACAAATGGGTGGATATGGGGAAGCAAGTGTCCAGGAAGGTATATCGTTTGACTTTATAAGACTTCTTATGTGTTCTGAACTATGTGGAACTAATTTTATTGCCTTAATTATGTTAGTTTTACTTTCTAGTCCCATAGTGTTTGTCCTCATGTTCGGTGAATGTTTTTCCTTTTCGGTTCAAAAGAATCAGCTTTTATCAGTTGATTTACGATGTAAGCTTTTCATTAGGCTGAGGTTTTTGAAAACTTGTCCCTCTCTGTGCTCAAGTTCTCTCTCAATGTAGGTTCAACATGTGGAAGACAAGGTCAAGAATCTGCTTATACAGATACAAGATGGACAGGTATTTCCTGTTATTTGTTCTTTTCTGTTCTCAAGATTCAGTTTGAGCTTTTAGTAACATTCATGTAGGACGATTCTGTCATGTTTTGTTTTTAGA